AACTTATTTCTGACCGAACTATCTGAAAATGGAACATTCAAATGTTATCAAGAGGACAAACATTTCAAGATCATGTCAAGCTATGAACTGGAAAACAAGGACAATCAGGGAGCACCTTTGAAAGCACACCGAGTGAGCCAAAAATGTTATAATGACATCGGAACTGAGCTTGGGTCGTATCAGGCGTGTATTGTTAACGGCTACACTAAAGGTGGGTCCTGTGGTAAAGTTTGTTCTGATTATAATGAGAATCACTTGGTATGGCCAGTAGTTTTACCCCCAGAGACAATGTGTGATGGCGTAAAGGACTGTCAGGATGGTTCGGATGAGATTAATTGTGGTGAAATTATTGCAGTCTGTGATGAAGATAGAAGTCAGCAGATTCCAAAGGAGTACCTTTGTGATGGGTCTGTACATTATTGTGTTAAAGACAGGCCAGAGATTAAAGATGAATCGGACTGGTGGTGCAACAGAAATGATAATAGGCCTGGTGCGGTCGAATGGATCAAATGCCAAAACATGGAAGGTTTCTTACATCCAGCAAAGTTCTGTGATGGTAATAACGACTGTGGAGATGCCTATAATTCTTATGATGGTCCTTATGATGAGTTAAGATGCAATTCTACTCAAAATGAGTCTTATCTGAATGATGAGGGCGGTAGGCTGTGCCAGGATAATGAGACAGGTGATATCAGATATCTTTATCCTGAGCAGATCTGTGGTAATCCTAGAGTAACCACGGGTGCTGTTGAAACAGAGGAGTTTCGGCCATGCTGGAAAAAGCTTGATCAAATACATTGCAACAAAGAACATACCAGTGTTCATGGCTTAAGATGTCTTCTCGAATATTATTTGGAAAAATACGTAACAGAGAACACACACGAGTTTTTTGACCATGAGTTACGAAACAGACTGTCAAATAATACTTATAACGGAGAACGAGAAGAAACCATAATATCAAAATACCTGCTCTGTGACGGTGATGGGGATTGCGAAAATGGTATCGATGAGAAATGTCAAGACCCAAATGAAATGATTGATAATAAAAACAAAAAGGTTAGCGACCAAAAGGATATGAATAATATCGCTCGAACGTGTCTGATACATAGACATCACATTTGTGATGGCTACAGAGATTGCCTAGAAGGAGAAGATGAACTAGAGAGTATTTGTGAGACTGATGATTGGCAGAAGCTGCCTGGGTGTGTGAGAGTAGGAGCCAGAGACTTCGCGGATAGCACCAAAACAAAATTAATTCATGTAGATTGGATCAAGGATACTATCACAGATTGCAGAAATGGAGTAGACGAAGAAGATAGAACACAGATTTGTCCGGTGACTTTTACGAATGGAGACTGGCAGCTACGGAATTTCAAAGACGAATGTCCCGAAGTGTACAAATGTACAGATGAAATGGAGAATCTGGACAGCTACGTTGAAATCTTTGACCTATGCCAGTCAAGTCTAGACACTTGTGAACGTCAAAACAGAATCTGTCAGACAGCAAAGACAAGACCATCCATAGAAACAACGCCAATCAAAACTTCAAGGGTAGAAGTAGAAGGTATCGTCGCCACTAAACATGTGGCCCCTTGTTTACGTGGTTTGATGAAATATAGACAGTTCAACTGCACGACCAGTGATCAGCATATCTTTGGATCTAAGAATAGGACCTATGGAATAATGAACACAACTTGGGTCTATGAAGACAAGGTGCGTGATTGTTCTTATTACTTCGGAGAGACGTTTCTTTTCCTGACATGCAACGATCTTTGTTTTCCAAGGGAAGAATATGGCTATTGGTACTATGATTCGCAATATATTCAACCTCGGAAATGTCCTTTTAAACAACCAAAATACCAAGATGATCTCTTTAGAGACTCTAGAGAAAATTATCCAGTAGCAAGAATCACAGTCGAAAACGAGTTTAAAAGTGGAGATCTTATATTGAGATTGGTTGCTAAAATTAATGACAGTTATCAGCCAAAATGGTTTGGATGTGATAATGGCAGAGTGGTTCTTTTGAACGAAGTTTGTAATTTGGTAAACGATTGCGGAGATAACTCTGACGAATTGTACTGCTCTAATTCGGTAAGCTGTCCAATTGCAATTGGTTATTATGATTCAGATTCCTTGAAAGACCGCTCAGAAGTTTCAAGAATACCACTATCATCGATCCATGATGGAAAAGTCGATTGCAAAACAGTAAATGGTTTTAGTTATACGATGAATGACGAATGTACCTATAGGCTTTCTTATCTTCTGGGTGAATACAGGGGGAACACCTACAAATTTGCGATCGCCTTTGGTGTGCTGGCAACGGCTATAAATTCTTTTGTTATAGCGAAGAATATTTGGTCTTTGCGGAAAACCACAATGAAGTCGGTTTTATTTGGAGACACTATATATATTCTCATGATATCTGTTGGGGACTTTTGCATTGGTGTCTATCTTTTATTGTTAATAAAGAACCACGAGAGTTTCGGAGTTATGTACTGCCCTGAAAAATATCGTTGGCTCTCATCGAACACTTGTAATTTCTTGGGAGCCCTTAGCACGTTTGGTTCGCAGATTTCACTGCTCTCGATGACTGTCATGAGTTTTTTGCGAGCAAGAAATCTCTCCAAAACACTTTCGTTTCGTTTTTCGAGACGACTTTTGGCCGTCTACATCATTTTGGCATTGACACTCGTTATTCTGTCTGTTGCAATAGCGGTAACACCTCTCCTGCTCTCCTGGATATTTTCGAAGATTACTTCTTGAACGGACAAGTGTATGGAGATTCATACCAGCATCCGGAAGAGCAAATAAAAATATCCTTTTTCCTTGGACGGCAAACCAAGCGGGATCTTGTCAGTGTTATTGATGCTCATTACGGCTCAACAATCCAAAAGAAACTACTCGAAAATGGAGAAGGCTTAAGATGGAGTGAAATCAGGCGTCTCTTTGAAGGCATGTTTACAGGATTTTGGAGGAATAAAGATAGTGAGATTTCCGGAATCCCCTTTGGAAGAGTTGGATTTTATGGAAGTAGTGCAGTCTGTCTCTTTAAATACTTCGTCACCAAAGATGATCCTCAGCATATGTTCTCGATAGCAATATTGGGGCTGAATTTGGCTTGTTTCGTGGTCATAACAGCATCCTACTTGAAAATTCTGCACCAGACCACCAAGTCTAGTCAAGCTGTGGCCGGAGCCAGGGCCAACAAATCCATTTTGATCCAGACAAAGATATCGATGATAATCCTCTCAGATGCAGTATGCTGGCTGCCCTTCATTACCTACGCTTTTCTTCACTACACCGAGTTTGAAAATGCAGAGAAGCACTATCTTTTCTTCTCCGTCATCCTTCTACCTGTAAACTCAGTTGTCAACCCAATCATCTACCACTACAACCATTCATACGTCAAACAGAAGGGCAGGGAGGTCTTGGCGAGGGTCCGTTCCAGTGATTGTTATTTGGGCTCCGTTTTCTTCCTATCTGAACTCTTTACCAGCACCGTAACTGTATTATCAGGTCATGACATCCGATCCACGATCCAACCGATTCTAAAAAGAGTTAATCCTCAGTTGGTCTCAACCGTAGTGAGATATAATGTTGAGACCTCTCAAGTTAAAATCGAAGACTTTGACACGAAGGAGAAGTCTTGCGAGGAGTCTCTCGTTGAAATCGAATGTAATTGATGATAATGCTTATTCTACCGGGTTACGATTTTGTTATCATAAGTACAAAGTAATGATCGCAGAATCCAGAACTCGAATTTGTAACATAAAAAACCAGAAAAGTTGTCGAGAATTGTTTCAAGACTGTTTTAAATTTTAGCACGTACGTAGAATTTTGAACAGGGAATTATTTACTTTTGGGTTTAGTTAGTTATTGTTCAATTTTTCTTCTGATCAAATTACATCGCCTACTTTGTAAAAGTGTTTGATATATATTAATATATATACATTGTTACCCCTTTTCGAAGCCTTCGCGTGCATGAGAGAGGCTTGCAACGCTTTCTTCTCGTTCCTGATATTTTAGAGTCATAATATGCGATAGGTTTTTTTTGGGTAAATCATTACCAAATATCATAACATGATTACATTGTTATAATGTACATAAGCATAAATGTATATACAGAATCAGGGCGTAAAATTAAATTAAAGTTACTCATAAATCAGTATTAGACATTAATTACAGAAAATATACTCAGCACCCTTTGAGATAATAAATAAAACTGTTGGTGGTCGAGGGAGAATTGTCAAATTAAGGAGTGCCGCTCGACCATAATGAAATTGTAGGTAGCAAAATCGTTTTAACACAATTTAGTCGACAAGAAGATTATCCGTATTTATGCTCTTTGTCTGGTGACGACTAGATTGGTTTTAAATATATATTAGCAATCACTACTGTAAGCTTGATATTATATCACCTGCTGGCTGTTTTGATCAATAATAACATTCGATATTAATCAACATTTTGATCATGAAACACGCCTGAATTGCATCGTTAATGGAGATTAAACGCCGATTCAGTTTTTGCCAAGCTTTGGCCGATGAGCACAGAGCTGGGTACCGTTAAGCGGATTACTTAAACGTTCCATAAATAATATTATTGCAATATGGTCCTGAATTTAGTAAACTTTCAAGATTAAATCCACCACAAAACGTTAGCTCTAAATATTAGTTAGAACTTGTTTCCTAGCTAAATAGATATAAGAGGTAGATACTTAGAGGTCGTTCACATATTACGTAATCAGCTGAGAGGGGGGGGGGGGGGGGAGGTTTCCGAATGATTACGCTAGTGTAATTTTTACACAATATCTATGTGTAAAACTGATTACGGAGGGGGGGGGGGGGGATAAAAATGTTCCAAACAATGATTACGTAATATGTGAACGACACCTTAGGCTTAACTTTAAGTACTTACTCTTAGTTGAAACACAGCACAAATAGAAAACCAAGTGATCTACAAATTAGAAGGTGAATAATTTAATTTAAAGTTTACAGTTTATTAATTTATTTGGACCAAATTGAGTTGTCAGCTAAACCAAATAAAATAACGTTAACTCTTAATTAAGCGAAATAAATACAGTAAAAACAGTTTTTCTTTTTCGCGAAAGTCCTAAAATACTTCAATAAGTTAAGAGAAATAAATAAAATCAAACATTAGATAAAAATAATCAGGTTAATCTAAAATAACTACCGAAAGAATAACTGGTGATTATTTATATAGTTGCGGTTGGTGGAGGTATCGTAACAGAACCCACCAAGTCTTAATGCAATTCCGTAAGAAATACTTAATTAATATTTATATAGTAACAAATTTATGTCTGATAGATATAATTTATAGCATCCAAGGTTCTTCAGAGCAAGCAACCAAGTGATCATTTTAATATTAACTTCTTGCAATCTGCCATTTAAATGTGCTTATAGTTGGTAGATTAAGTTGCTAGAATGAGTTTTGCTCTCAATCTAACTTTAGAATGTGTATCTCGGACTGCTAAGGAGGTGGTTTAGAAAATGTAAACAGTATATATCTACTTTACTGGCGGATTAAACTATGGAGGTTTAGAGAAAGTGGGTGGAAACAGTTTATATCTGCCTTGTAGGGGTCCGTGGGTGGAGATGTAATCCAGATCTATCAGGATCTCGCCCAGGAGAACGTTCCGACGGAGTGTCCCCACTTCGTCCCACACCATTACCTGCAAAACAGTCATTTTATTGTTTTATGGACCTTATCGGATGTTATTTGACCGGACATTGCGTGAGTGGAAATAATTTTGGATGGAGATTAAAATGAACGCTCGAAAGTATTCAAAACCATTAAAAACCCGAAATTTTTGTCATCTTTTTGGGTGTTTTTTTCAATTTTAACGATAATTTTTCAATCGATTTTTAATACTTAGTTATACTTATACAGTAAGTTAGAAAATAGTCGTTAAGCAGTGAAAATTTTGATATGATTTGAAATCGAAGAAATTAAAAATAGTCACATCCTGGACAATAAGTTCGTAGAGGAATACTTTCGGGAAAATTTTTTAACGGACTTTATTTGAACGGACATTAAAATGAATACAAGGGCCTCCAGCGTCCAATTAATTTCCGTTCAAATAAAGTTTAAGTAAAAATCCGATAAGGTAGATAATTTTTCAGTGATCCGAATCAAGTTTTCCAGGATGTTGCCAGGTTTGAAATACCGGAGTGAAAATAATTGTATTCAAAATAATATGTTAAGGTAAGTTTTGTCAGGATAACAAATTGAATCCCCCCAAATTTCTTAAAATGAACTAGAGCATAATAATTACTAATTAGTATAACTAGCATAATAATCACTAATTATGATAATTACTCAATAAGCTATCCTAATCACCTGAATAACTTGGTTGGTAGGGTTGACAATGTAAGTGATTCTCTCGTTGAACACGGGGTTACAGTTGCAACGAACAGTCGTTGTTTTCTCCTTGTGTGACCGGTTGTGATCCAGCATGATGTAAGTCTTCACGTAGGTATCTAGGTGAGGTGTTGTCATAAATATGTGACAAATTGTGTGAGGTGTTGTCATAAATATGTGACAAATTGTGTGAGGTGTTGTCATAAATATGTGACAAATTGTGTGATGTGTTGTCATCAATATGTGACAAATTGTGTGATGTGTTGTCATAAATATGTGACAAATTGTGTGAGGTGTTGTCATAAATATGTGACAAATTGTGTGAGGTGTTGTCATAAATATGTGACAAATTGTGTGAGGTGTCGTCATAAATATGTGACAAATTGTGTGAGGTGTTGTCATAAATATGTGACAAATTGTGTGAGGTGTCGTCATAAATATGTGACAAATTGTGTGAGGTGTTGTCATAAATAGTAATTTGGAATGCAGTTTACCTGGAGCAGGACCGTTAGGGCGAGCAGGGAGGTTATTGGCTTGCACTACCTCCAGAGTTAACATCATCTTGTGAATACCCAGTGTTAATACCAGCGACCCCTGTACTTCTACTGAAATAGAACTGATAGTCACTGGTAATTTTAACCTGGTATCAAACCAATACTCAGCGGGAATTTGATTTAAAAAAATCTAAATATCACTGGTTATTTAAATATTGATACATTTACACGGCCCTGATTGATTAGAAGGCAAACCTGGGTGAGCCACAGATATTTGACCAGGTCCAAGATGCGAGGATGGTTCTCCGGTACCGATAAGAGGCTGAAACATTGAGAGTAAAATGTGAAAAATAAAGCTGATCTAACGAATTCTCATGAAGCAGATTCAAGATAATTGAAGTAGAAAATGAGCACTATAATAAGAGTGCAAGTAAGATATTTTGGTCGTACTCTTCCTTCGGGAGATGGACGGTGTATGGCAGTGAGATGCGAGGAAACACTGTCAGTAGAGGAACTTCCACATTCCTCGGAGGAGGGGGCTGTCAGGATCACCTGTAATAATTACCCAGTTTTAAATCTTAGAACTTCAGTTGACCCCGTTTAAGTTAAGAAATAAATCTAAATCTGGTCAAATCTTATTCCTAAAACTAATGATATCTTTACCTACTATCTAGCTTGCTAGTCTATAATTGCTCGCTCCTCTCACGTTCAGGAAGCTTGAAAATAGCGCCGCGCACAGGGATTGGTGAGTCAGGTGAATGATATCTATAAAATTAAATATAATAGGGACCATAACCTTATGACTGACCCTAGTCGGAGAAAAGTTCTCAGCCTGAGTAGCAAGTAAGGGAGAAGTCATCCTCTTGGTAGGGAGGGTCATAACAGCGCCCCTCTTGGCTCTGTCTGGTGTCTTGGGTAATATTCTGTGCTGTTTTGTCGCTGTTAAATCCTCCGAGTTACTCCGCCCAGCTCGCCGGAGCTTGTTAATTTCTGACGAAAGTAAAGGAGGTTGGAATCAGCTGTAAATTTGTTAATTACCAGAACAGCTAAAACAGGGGAAGATACTAGATAGTGCAGGTGTTCAAACACAAGGAATTATTTACCTGACTCTGAGGTTACGGTTATCATCTCGTTGGAACTGTTGCTACATTGTCTGGTATATGTGCCTCCGTCTGAAGAGTGGCCTTCTTGATTAACTTATTAAAATTACTTACGTATCCTTGGTTTAGATAAAATAATAAACTTTACGAGATATCAAAATTATTTTTTCACTTAAACAAAGTTTAACTGAAGTGGTCCCTAAGTTAACAATAACAGGGATCATAAAAATAAGAGGGATCATGAAAAATTCGACACAAAACCAAGGTTTTATTTTCGCCTTACCAGATTTGCGGTGTTCTTTTGCAGTGGATTTATTCCGGATAACCCGGGGCCGTCTTCTCGGGCTTCCTCTCACTTGAATAGGGGGCCTTTGTTCGTCAGACTCTGGAGGGACCAATAAGATAAATTACAAAGTTTAACATACATAGTGTCTAGTATAGTTTATAGACATTGTGCATAAAACACAGTATGTTGTAGGAGAGCGAGGAGTTCAGCCACAGTGTATTTAAAACATAAGAACCTAATTTTTCAGCACAAAAACTTTATAGGGTGTTAACGATTCTATTGCGATAAACGTCCAGCGATACATAATACTGATTACTTATCTTTAACTTTACTTTTCTTTAATTTTCGCATATAAAATGCTACGATCAAAACTAATAGGATAAGTTTAAATTCTGCCGGCCCAACTCTGAAGATCAAAAAGGTGAGTAGTGCGACACATTGCAACAATAGAAAAAGGTGAATCCCGCGACAGATTGCAATGATATAAACATTTGAGTATTTCAACAGATTGCGACATCAAAAACAGTTGAGTCGCGCGACACATTGCAACAAAAAAGGGCACAGTCGCGCGACACATTGCAACAAACAAAGGGCACACGGCACCTGACTCGGAAGAGGTCAGACACTGAACAAGATGTGCGGGAGCCGTTAACCAACGATCTACAAAGAAATTCCCATGAGTCAAGACAATTATAATCCTATCAAATAATGACCCTTAGTTTATCATCTCATGCAGGTAGCAAACCCCTGTCCGCAAAACAACTTTTCTCTCAAAATCTACCAGAAGAGTTGCGTACTTGATACGCGTATATAGGCTAAATCACCTGTGGAGAAAGATGTGAACACATTGATCAAGCAAAAAGACATTAAAACTACCTTTAATGTTAGACAGGTGGGTGTGAATGCCTGCAGATTTAAACACATTATCCGAACTCTCCTCGTCGCTAGTTTGCTGCTGTTTTGACTTTTGTTTAGGAGGTTTGGCTGGTTTGGTCGAGTCCGAAGCTGTCCGTCTGATATCTGGAACTATTTCCTTCTTGCAATCAAAAGTACTGAACGTGGTCCGATGTTGAATGGGAACTTTCTCCCTCATCATTTCTGATAAAGATTTTGTTCCAACTTGACTGGAACCCTCAGGTTGTTCCTTCCTGTCACTTGAAGTGGGGGTGAGTGAGTCGGTTGGGGCTGCTTGGAGGTAGAACCAGTCAGCTTGTCCAGAGAGAACTTTCCTGTCACCTAACTTTATCTCAACCTGGTAAAAAGGGGTGTATTAGCAATTATGTATCTGATATACCACTGCAGCAGATAGTGTAGTTTAGGAGGTAAAACCTTGATTTACTGGACCCCTTGCAGAAAGTTAATGTGCAGAACAGAAAGGAATTGTAACTGAGATACAGGGCCAATTGAGGCACAGAAAAAGGGAGACCTGCTGCATTCTCTAAAGCCTACACTATTGATTAAGTTTTCAAAGTGGGTTTAACATTTTAGATGTGAGCGACTCGAATCGAATCTATTTTTATGGAAAATCATTAAACTGCGGCATCGAAGTATTAAACAACTTTTTTGTAAATCAAACGAGGTAGTAGATAAAAACAAACCTGGCCTAAAGGCTGATCCTTCTGAAGCCAGTGGTGCATCATCAACGTCACTTCTAGCTTCTTATCGGACAACTGGAAGTTATTATGTGAGTATGCTAACTTATAAATCATAATTTATCAGCCATACCTACTAGGGATGGGAGCACTTGGCAGAAAGCCCCTTTGAGCGGGTCCCAAAGTGGACCTCCTGCCAGGACTTCCAAAATGTAATGACACTAACAATAGTCCCATACAACAGATACAAGAGTCTTGAAGCTGTCGCTACCAGGCTCCAAAGAGGGTAAGTGGGCAACATCATATTGATAATATGATATCATAACAACTTTCTAACATAGTTGGCTCAGGATCTAACTTTCTAAAAGAACGTCATAAGTTCTGTTAGCTGTTCAGACTATTATATACGTATGTAGCTTGAATTTAGCATATCTAATAAATATTCTGAGCAAGCTACTAATTCTGAGCAAGCTACTAATTCTGAGCAAGCTTCTAATTCTGAGCAAGCTTCTAATTCTGAGCAAGCTACTAATTCTGAGCAAGCTACTAATTCTGAGCAAGCTACTAATTCTGAGCAAGCTACTAATTCTGAGCAAGCTCTATATTCATGAGCAAGCTACTAATTCTGAGCAAGCTCTCTCTTCCTGAGAAAGCTACTAAATCTATAAGTTTTTGTAGAACTTTTCTAGATTCTGTATTGTGGTTCCCTGTAAGTAAACTGCGAAAAGGTAACTGTCCCACGGCCCATAGCAACCACTACACGGCCCATAGCAACCACTGAAAAACTGCACTGAGTATTAGGATGTAAATTGTAATGTTACCCTTCAATTTCTTCCTAAGAAGTAGATAAGAAGCAGGTAAAACTAAAATAAGCTCTGGACTGACTCCAAAGCTCCCATTGATTGATCCTTGGAACTTTAAACAAAACTTTGAGATCATTTTGTACATTATCACGAGGTTATTTGTAGGTTGAAATTAACATCCGTGCCTTATAGGTGAACAGTTGTATCATATTCGCTACTAGGAACTCACGATCGATAAAGCGTTCTTCAGTTGTTGCTTCTTAGTTTGAATTTTGATCCAACTTCGTACTTAGTTTATGAACTTGATATGAAAATAATAATTGCTAGTACATATGTATTAATAATTATGAAGGTCATAAATGAAACTTTAAAAACTAATAGTGAGGGAACACGATGATAAAAGCTGCATTTATAATTGTTATCGCAACATTAACAACATATTGCACAGGTTAGTCATCACTGTAAACCATTCACATATCAAAATAAAAAAAGTTATCATACAGCTATACCAAGTACCGATATCATTATCTCTTCACAAAAGTAGTTCTTTAATTTTGGCATGCTACGACGAGACCCGCATAACGCAGTAACTGTCCATCACCGAGCTACATTATTTTATGACCATGTATAGCGAAAATGTCTACAGGTAGACTGAGAGATAAGTTAGCAGGCGAGGTTGAACCCCTGACAGCAAGTCAATCTCAAACCCGCTATAACGATGAGGCCTGGTACGGAGCTGCGCGAGCAATTGATGGGAACTTGAACACATACACAAGAGCAGTACCGGGGCGAGATGGGGTCACGTGGTTTCAGGTTAGTTACAACTTAGGGGCCATAATATAGGGAACTTATATTCCACAAATATAATATGTGAATGTAACTTTTTAGTGACTAAAAAGTTACATTCATACTAAAAATTTTAGTCACCTTTCACGAGAGGTGAGTTACCAATATTCAGTTATTTACGGTATTGAACGTGGGACAAGAATTCAAAATTACTTTTCAGATATGTATCGTCATTACTTTTTCGAGATCTATAATTGATTCAGGTGAAGTTAGAGACGGTTTACTGTGTTGTAAATGTGGTAGAGTACTGGGGAAGTAAACCTGAAGATAATCACACGTGGGCTTGCTCGCAAAACAGTTGCAAGTAAGTTTGAAAAATAAAATATCCACGGTTAAGTGATATATGTGTGACTTTTTAAGCGAAAACGATCCATCCTGATTTGGTTGGCACTTCACCAGTTTCAACTTTTATAATCTGTAAAGCTGAATTAAAGGACCAGTTAACTGAAAAATTTGTAGTCTCCAATTTGGCTAAGATTTAAATCAGCTGTGACAAACTGGTAAAGAATCGTATCGCCGAAAGAACCAACTCTCTAGCGTACGTGTAACGCGTGTTATTGCAATAATAAGCTGTGGCCTCGTGACGTCACGAAGTCCCTCAGTGCGCGCTGGCATATAGCGTAATACTAATACGTTGCAAATGTTTATCGTTGTCATTAAAACACATGTAACTCACTCAAATTTTAGAATTATGACTATTACCCTAGTTCTCCCAAATCCTTATAGTTTTGGCTATCATCCTAACTAAAGGAATAGCTGATTGGATGTACAGTGCTCACGTCATGATTTTAAACAGTGATATAGGTTCTTGAACAGTGGCGGGTGAATGTACGGTTAGAAAGTTTCTGCTATTACAGTTCTTATGTCATATGTGATAATTTCGGATTGTTTTCATTGCTTAATTACACAAGCAGCCAGCAGGGAGACTGTACCGATTATTTTTCCCCAGTCCATGAAACTCTAACGAATTTAGAAAGGATCTAGATAAGTAGGAGTTTGTTCAATTCCGAGAGCAATTATATTTATAGCATAGCGAAATTTCTAATTTTAATCCGCATGTGTCAGCCAGTACAGGAGACAAGAAGTCTGGCTACTTTACGGCCGTTCCTCTGGGAGTTGGGACCATCAGTAGAAGTAGCTTCTATCAGAACAGTGCCGTGGGAACAGAATTCCCGCCAAAATACCCGGTCTACCAAATAGTAATACAGATTGGAGTTCGAGTGTACGGTGTGCGGTGTGTTTTGAATTAGACTTGCGGCTTACCTAGTTGTTATCCTAATTGCATTATCATCGGTACATAACATAAATAAACTACTGGTAAGTTTAAATACCAAGTGCAAACGTGTTCAGTCGATCGACCCACTGAACAACTATAGAACTTCCAAGACCCTATTATTCTTTGGCCATATATTACGGCACGATCGATTGTTAGATGGTTAAAGTTAAACGACCAACGCTAATCTATACAATTCTAAAACTATGAGCTAGCACTTTAATCTAAAAATACACTTTTTATATTACTCCTGATTTTTACATTTCACGTAAAACATTGTCGCCACAGGTTGATCATGGACACTAACAGCTTAATTTGAGATAAATGACTTATGAGTTTCTCTAAAGTTAACTCTAAAGTTGTGCAGTCCAGTCATTTTTGGACATTTATGGAAATGAACCTGCAAATGTTCAGATACTAACGAAACTTTGCACAGACCTTCCCGAAGGTATGAATAAACGATTTTCGTTTGGAGACATTTTTTTGACAGTGGAGAAAACCCAGGAGGGCCACGCCCATATTGACCCAATAACGTAACCGACCCCTTGCTTCTGAAGGTCGTAGAGACTTCAAAATAGGCTTAAACGAAGCCACATATGCATGTTTATATAGGAGTTATTGAGCAACACATGGCCTAAAATCCATACTTTTCGAGAAATTCGCCAAAAACCATTTTGGGCGTGGTGCTGAGCCCATTTTCGATAGGATTGTGATAGAGTCTTTAGACAGGGTGCAAAAGAACCGCAATTAGCATATTAACATATGACTTACGAACAAACATAAGCCTTAAAGTGCTTACTTTTTCAGTTATTGGCGAAAAACTGATTTTCGGTTCCAGAAATCATGCAAAACTATGGGTATCTGGTAAATTGAGCTATGAAGGCCCTAAAGGTTTTTAAATGTGTGCAAATTGTGCAGAATGGCCATGTTTATATACAACTTATGAAGCAACATGTACCCTAAATTACTTACTTTTCGAGTTATTCGGGGAAAAACATTGTATTATGTCCATTTTCTACCTGTAAAATACAGTCTCACGGGCTCCTCTGCGCGCGCAAGGGACTTCGTGACGTCATCGCCAAAATAATACAAACGCTATTTACACGCGTTAGAGAGCAGTTAGAGATTTAGGAATTTCGACTCGTTGCTTAGTTTGCTATTTGTCACAATCTGTCAAAATATGAGGATAACTTTTTTTTCAGTTAACTGGTCCTTTAAGAGGACCAGTTAACTGAAAAATTTGTAGTCTCCAATTTGGCTAAGATTTAAATCAGCTGTGACAAACTGGTAAAGAATCGTATCGCCGAAAGAACCAACTCTCTAGCGTACGTGTAACGCGTGTTATTGCAATAATAAGCTGTGGCCGCGTGACGTCATAAAGTCCCTCAGTGCGCGCTTGCATAGCGTAATACAATGCACAAATGTTTATCATCGTCAATAAAACACGTGTTACTCACTCAAATTTTAGAGTTATGACTATTTCCCTAGTTCTACAAAATCCTTATAGTTTTGGCTATCACCCTAACTATATGAATAGCTGATTGGATGTACAGTGCTCACGTCAGGATTTTAAACAGTGACATAAGTTCTTGAACAGTGGCGGGTGAATGTACGGTTAGAAAGTCTCTGCTATTACAAGTTATGTCATATGTGATAATTTTGGATTGTTTTCATTGCTTCATTACAAACGAAGGGAGACTGTACCGATTATTTTTCCCCAGTACATGAAACTAATACACAAAACAATGTGCTATATATTAAATATAGCTGATAAGAGTGTAACTCTGTAATATAATATTACAGTTGTTCGGAAGAATGCGAGCAGTCGAATGGTTCGCTGTCCTAAAAGACATAGTTCCGAGAGCAATTATATTTTTAGCATAGCGAAATTTCTTACTATACTTTAATCCACACGTGCCAGACAGTACAGGAGACAAGAAGTCTGGCTATTTTACGGCCGTTCCCATGGGACCATTAGTAGAAGTAGCTCCTATCAGAACGGTGCCGTGGGAACCGAAAAATACCCGGTCTACTAAATACTGATTGGACTGTACAGTGTGCGGAGTGTTTTGAATTTGACTTACCTAGTTATCGTCCTACTTGTATGATCATAAAATTAAATACCAAGTGCAAACGTGTTCAGTCAATCGACCCACTGAACAACTATAGAATTTCCAAGACCCTATTATTCTTTGGCCATATATATTACGGCACGATCGATTCTTAGATGGCCTAAACGACAAACGTTAATCTATACAATCTTAAAACTATGAGATAGCACTTTAATCTAAAAATACACTTTTTATATTACTCCTGATTTTTACATTTCAATTTTCACGTAAAACATTGTAGCCATAGGTTGATCATGGACACTGACAGCTTAATTTTAGATAATAATGATTTATGAGTTTCTCTAAAGTTAACTCTAAACTTGTGTAGTCTAGTCATTTATTGACATTTATGGAATTGAACCTGCAAATTTTCGTATACTCCCGAAATTTTGCAAAGGACCTTCCCAAAAGTATGAATAAACGATTTTCGGTTGGAGACATATTGACCACGCCGATATTGACCCAATAACGTAACCGACCCTTTGCTTCTGAAGGTCGTGGAGACTTCAAAATAGGCTTTAAACGAAGCCGCATATGCAAGTTTATATAGGAGTTATTCAGCAACACATGGCCTAAAATCCTTACTTTTCGAGAAATTCGCCAAAAACCATTTTGGGCGTGGTGCTGAGCCCATTTTCGATAGGATCGTGATAGAGTCTTTAACAGGGTGCAAAAGAAACCGCATTTAGCATATTAATATATGACTTACGAAGAAACAGATGCCTTAAAGTGCTTACTTTTTCAGTTATTGGCGAAAAAAACTGATTTCCGGTTCCAGAAATCATGCAAAAATATGGGTATCTCGTAAATTGGGCTATGAAGGCCCTACAGATTTTTGAATGGATGCAAATTGTGCAGAATGGCCATGTTTATATACAACTTATGAAGCAACATGTACCCTAAAACACTTACTTTTCGAGTTATTTGGGGGAGAAACATTGTATTATGTCCATTTTTACCTGTAAAATACAATCTCACGAGCTGCTCTGTGCGCGCAAGGGACTTTATGACGTCATCGCCAAATAATACAAACGCTAATTACACGCGTTAGAGAGCAGTTAGAGATTTAGGAATTTCGACTCGTTGCTCAGTTTGCTATTTGTCACAATCTGTCAAAATATGAGGATAACTTTTTTTTCAGTTAACTGGTCCTTTAAAATCTCTCCCCCCACCAGTCAGATCTCATGTGAGGGGATATGGTGTGATAATTTCATTCTATCAGTGGAAACTACAAGCCTAGTACCAACCAGCTTCCAACCAGATTCAGGGTGTATCCATGGTGATACGGTCAAACTGCAGAGTAACGACGGTTATGATATCTACATGCACGAGTTGGCGGTTGTAGTCAGACCGTCAGGTTGTAAATAAATCTTGGGTTTTACTTAATCGAGCTTAATAATAACTAAGTTATACTATATACTAATACCATACTGTATGTTATACAAATCACTTGAATCTAGTGTTTTATATGTGAGTTTTAAAGTCAGGGCTAAAACCCAGCAGGATCACAAGTCAGGGTAAGTAATCAGGGTTATTAATCAGGGTCACAAACTTAAACTCAGGGCGAAAATTGAAGGTTTAAATTTAGTTATTAAAGGTTAAAATTTAAAACTTCAACTTAATCAGAGTCCTGCCTACTTTCTATCCTTACCAAGATATCAATATTATTAATTAATTAATTAATTAATGCTACCCTACCTCTGTCTCAAGAATCGGCTGGTACTCAAAATGCTGGTTCCAATAAGGGTTGTATGTCCGCACTGCAGTCTTCGATCGTTTTTTGGCATCTGCACTCATGCTGAAGAGAAAGGATGTGTTTACTATTAAAACATTTTAAAAAGATATCAAGACCCTCTCTTCCCTTTTTTATTATTTAAAAAATTGTTTTTATATTTAAATTTTAAATTCTAAATTTTCTACAGTCCAGGATTAGTCCCAGTCCAATTGGGGATACCTGGACTATAATCTAATTAAAATTGTTTCTATTGTAACTTAAAATAAAATAAAAAGTAATATAATATCTACCTGATATCGGGAAGTAAGTAAAGTTTAAAATAAAATAAAAAGTAATATAATATCTACCTGATATCGGGAAGTAAGTAAAGTTTAAAATAAAATAAAATGTAAGATAATATCTACCTGATATCGGGAAGTAAGTAAAGTTTACAGAAGATATCAATACCCTCTATACCGTCTCTGTAGGGTATGTTGGCTGCCTGGATCAGGTGTACTGATAACCTGTTCTCCATGGCAACATGAACCAGTCTCATCTCCAACTAAGAATAAGATATTAGTAGGGAAAATTTGGAAAATAAAACTGTAGGTTACAATTAAACGACAAATTTCATGAAATTTATTTATACTTTATTTAAAAGAAAATCTGAATTCGTGTTCAAGTAAAGTAAAGAGGTGAAAAACGAAATAGAAAAAACACCTTCATTTTAGATGTTTGGTCTGCTTTCGATAATCCCGATGTTTCATCCTCTGTACTCTCTTCAATCGTGTTAGAGTCGTCTGTTGTTCGACTGAAATCATGTGACAGATCCAGTGAACAATAATTCATTAAACCAAATTATTTCAAGTTAGGGAAATATGTTTAAAAACGGTCGCTCTATCAATTCGGCGAGCAAAATTTCAATAATCTACTCACAAATCCCGGTTGGTAATAAAATCATTAAGATCGTTATTTAAAACAATTCTTTTGACTATATGAAATGATAAAGTCTTTCCCTCAATTAATCACTCAACTAATCAGCTAGAAGCCAGGTGTTACCTTGTATCTGACTGTCTAGCGTGTATACCCCTCCTAGTAAGAGTGATCCACTTGTTAGTAGTTCCTCTCAGTATACTCTCAACACTCCCCGTCCTGCTGGTGTTGGAGGATCTCGGTCGGTACCTCCTGTAGCTGCCCCTGAAATTACTGCAGTGTTAGCCAGTAATCTTAGACCGGACCACTAGTCCAAATATTCCGCCCGCCTGCCACCCAGGGTGATTATTACTCGCATGCTTTAAACTTTCATAGCTTCTCTTAGAGAAATTCGGGTGGAAATAAAGGCGCGAAAATACAAAAAAAAAGAAAAGAAAGTGTTGAATAATTTTACCTGAGGAAATTGGAGACAACAAGGTCGACAGAATGACAGTCGTCAAGGAGAGCTTGACACTCTTCGTACGTTAAACCAATCAGCATGGTGGCATTCCATCTCAAAACAAGGTCACCTAGAGAGTAGTGTGGTATAAGGTTTGCGAGACAAAATGTCTATAAAATGATGCATTAAAGAAAAAATAACAACACTTCTGCTCTGGGGAATGAAATTTAGAGGAAAGTTTTCTTTTTTGAATTCCCTTGTTATCATAAGATTAATGAAGTAAATGGTAGCTAGCTGTGTGATCAATCGACCAACTCATGATCACTACCAGTTCCAATTTACCGCGATTCAGCAAAAAAGAACATATAAAAATCGAACCCTCGTGGAGATCAGGTGACCGACTTGCTGCACTTCCGGGAGTGATGGAGGCGATGAAGGCACACAGAGTACCACCAGCCATCTTCTTACCTCCCACTATTCTCAATCCAAACTGTCCACCTGTAATCATGAAATTATTAGTGTAATCAATTTTATTAGTATAATCAATTTTATGTTATCCTGAAATAATGAAGTCGGTGAAAAATAATTATATTGACAATTCCCGCACTTAATTCGTTCAATGTGGCGAGAGAAACATGGTTCGTTTTTTTCCGAGTGTGCGGATTATATTAGAGGACTGATAACAGACAATCTAAATTGTATCCTAATGGTAACGTGTAAAATCCGGATTGGAATATTGTTTATGAGTCGCATGGTTGCAATGGTTTCTTGTGTAAATTTGTATTGATCCCGTTTGATGCGACAAGGAAAAATGCTCTTATCAGGAAAGGAATTACTCAACGTTTCAATGTTAAAACATCGTATTCATAAGCTCTAATTATTTGTTATATAGTAGTGTTGAAAGTATTAGCACCAATGATAACTTAAGACGGAATATCTACTTTAACTTTCTCTGAGCTAATTCCCCTGTTCAGCTGGAAAACAGTGTTCATGCGTATTTGCTGAGCATGAACTTTTAGCAAGACCATTAATTATGGATACGTCAAGTGGCTGGAGGTGGTGTGTCATTTTATAACTGTATATTGGTCAGCGAATTGGACCAATGAATGAGCAGGGGTGATATGGATCAAAAATCCCGGGGAATGAAGGTTTCGATTTACATTTTGGGGGGGGGGGGGGGGGGGGTGTCATGTCCGTCTATGTCCGCCTATGTCCTGTCCTTTTTGGATTCTATGAGACAACAGACGTGTTTTTTTGGGACATTGGCGGACATGGACGGACATTGGCGGACTCGGACGGACATTGGCGGACTCGGACGGACATTGGCGGACCCGGACGGACATTGGCGGACTTGGACGGACATTGGTGGACATTAGCGGACATTGGTGGACATTAGCGGACAAAAATTTTGAGGACTGAAGAGTACTGAAGAGTACTGAGGAGGATGGCTGAGGAGGATGGCTGAGGAGGATGACTGAGGAGGATGACTGAGGAGGATGACTGAGAGGGAGGAGAAGGATCAGGAAGACCCAGGAGGAGAGTAGGAGGAGGACCCAGAAGGAGGACCTAGGAGGAGGAGGAGGAGAACTGACGAGGATGACTGAGGAGGAGGAGGACTCAGGAGGATGGTTGAGGAGGATGGCTGAGGAGGATGACTGAGAGGGAGGAGGAGGAGGAAGAGGAGAAGGAGGACCCAGGAGGAGGAGGACCCGGAGGAGGAGGACCCAGGAGGAGGAGGACCCAGGAGGAGGACCCAGGAAAAGGCCCCAGGAGGAGGAGGAGGACTGGGGAGGAGGAGAACTGTTGAGGACTGATGAGGAGGACTGAGGACGAGGGGAGGAGTAGGATCGGAGGAGGACTGAGGAGGGGAGGAGGAAGAGGACTGGGGAGGATCAGGAAGACCCAGGGGGACCCAGGAGGAAGAGGAGGACTGAGGAGGACTGAGGAGGAGGACTGACGATGACTGAGAAGGAGGAGGACTGAGGAGTACTGAGGAGGATGGCTGAGGAGGATGGCTGGGGAGGATGGCTGAGGAGGATGACTGAGGAGGATGACTGAGGGGAGGAGGAGGAGGACTCAGGAGGAAGAGGGCGAAGAGGAGGAGGAGGACTCAGGAGGAGGACTTATGGAGAAATGAGAAGGAGGATTGGGAGAACTGAGGAGGGAGGAGGAGGAGGAGGACTGAATAGGAGGAGGAGAAGGAGGGGGACTGGGAGAGAGGACTGGGGAGGAGGAGGACTGATGAGAAGGATGAGGAGGAGGACCCAGGAGGAGGAGGACCTGAGGACCGAGGAGGATGGCTGAGGAGGATGTCTGAGAGGGAAGAGGAGGAGGAGGAGGAGGACTCAGGAGGAGGAGGAGGAGGACTGAGGAGGACTGAGATTTGAGAAGGAGGAGGACTGAGGAGGAGGAGGAGGAGGAGGACTGAATAGGAGGAGGAGGAGGGGGACTGAGGGAGGACTGAGGAGGAGGATGGAGGACTGATGAGAAGGATGAGGAGGAGGACTGAGGAGGAAGAGGAGGAGGATGGAGAGGAGGAGGAGGACCCAGGAGGAGGACCCAGGAGGAGGACTCAGGAGGAGGAGGAGGACTGGGGAGGAGGAGGACTGTTGAGGACTGATGAGGAGGACTGAGGACGAGGAGGAGGAGTAGGAAGAGGACTGAGGAGAGGAGGAGGAAGAGGACTGAGGAAGATCAGGAAGACCCAGGGGGAGGAGGAGGAAGAGTAGGAGGAGGAAGCATCTAAATGTTATTTCCATTTTTGTCCGTTTTTGTCCATTTTTGTCCATTTTTGTCCGCTCTTTTTTTTGTCCGTTTTGAAAATATAGGGTACCGAACGGACAAAAAACATGATCCCCCCTATAACAGCAAAAATTGAACATTTTATTTAGCAATTTAGGTGTCCATTAATGTCCGCCTATGTCCGCCTATGTCCGTCTATGTCCGTCTATGTCCGCCTATGTCCGCCTATGTCCGTCTATGTCCGCCTATGTCCGCCTATGTCCGCCTATGTCCTGTCCTTTTTGGATTCTATGGGACAAGCGGACAAGCGGACATAGACGGACGTGACACCCCCCCCCCCCCCCCCCATTTTACAGTAAATATGCGTAATTTTTTATTAGGCGATGTCTCGTTAGTCCGAGGTTGCTCCATTTACCTCAACAGTGGCATGCCATCTGTAGCAAACCTTAATCAACAAACGTTATCCTAGGAGTAGAGAATGGGCCATTATCTACCGTTATAGTAACCAGAATCACTGGTATTTGGTTATTGTAAAATGACTCATAAACTTGTTGCTGTGAAGTGTTAAGCCCGATTCCTACAATATAAGTGATTTTTATCAGTTTGAAAATATTTCACGATAAGAGAGAAACGAAGAAGGAATGATGTCTCAAAAGAATTTCAATTTTGGTTGTCATTTGGCTGAATTAAAATGTTATCTTTTTAGTTATAATGTTTTTTAGTTGTTGTCAATGATAAAAAATTTCATAGTTTTAAAACAAAACAAAAAACTTTAAGACAAAGTAAACCCAAAATAGACATTATTCTATTAATGATACTGAACAGATCTTGATTGGTGGATCTTCCACGACTTTAACAATTGAACCCGTTAGCAGACCAATAAACGTCACACCTACTGCTATTAACATCCCCCACCCTAGTACCCTCTATATACACTCCGAAACCGACGTTTCCAAGCACATTTATCGAGACGGGAGGACAGCTAGTTGTAGTACTAGTAGCCGTCCACTAGTTGTAGCTGTGATGACTGGAGCGGTAACAAATCCACACTCTCTCAAATTGATCATTTTGTAAACCCGTGAGGCTCTAGTCTCGTGTTGCGTCCAGCCATGGTTTACCTCGTCGTGCTTACTAACCCCCGTGCAAGTAAGAGCGCAGGGGGCGGGGCGGGTGGCACTGTGAGGGGTGTTCAGGATTAGCAAATGGTCCTGCTGTGTAACCACGATCACTGTCATGAGGAGGAGGAGGTAGTGTGCTGATACCATCTTCAAGGAGTTCTTTAGGTCTTCCAGGTCTTGAAACTGTGGGAGAAAGTAGCAAACTCTCTTTTTAGAACGCTTTTAATACCAACTAATTACTTCGACTAATTGTAATTCAGCACAACAATTGAACAACAATAAAGTAGCGGTATAGCAGGTGTCCACATTGTACTTATCCAACTTACCCTCTCATTCATCAGTATTCCGATCATTGTAAACCCTTAGAGGTGGTAAAGTTCACACATTTACCTCGACTTAACAAAGGATACAAATCAAGTTGTAGAGGATTAGCGAGTTGACAACTGTTACATGATAGAATAACGGTGAAGTAAAAGTTTGATTTTTCATGGCTGAAATACTAGATTAATCTGTTTATAATTCCAGGACTTATATCATAATATTATCTCGAGGTGGCACCGCCCACCGCGCATCATCCTATAGTTTCACGTACAGAACTCGGCCAAGGATTATGTCCATTGTCCACGTCCAGTGCCTAAACCCTGTAACAGACGTTAGCTTAAAAGTGGACGTGACTTTCTATTGGAGGTTACAATAATAGTTAGGGAATAATGCAAAATGTCTGGGAAAAAATTTGCAACAAGCTGATTTTTACAGGAATGTGTTGTCCATAGTGTCAGGAACCACCCCAAAGAGTTTTCAATCTGGATCTGTTGAGCAAAAAAAGTTACAGCCAATTTTCTGGCGGACTTGGACGGACATTGGTGGACATTAGCGGACATTGGTGGACATTAGCGGACAAAAATTTTGAGGACTGAAGAGTACTGAAGAGTACTGAGGAGGATGGCTGAGGAGGATGGCTGAGGAGGATGACTGAGGAGGATGACTGAGGAGGATGACTGAGAGGGAGGAGAAGGATCAGGAAGACCCAGGAGGAGGAGTAGGAGGAGGACCCAGAAGGAGGACCTAGGAGGAGGAGGAGGAGAACTGACGAGGATGACTGAGGAGGAGGAGGACTCAGGAGGATGGTTGAGGAGGATGGCTGAGGAGGATGACTGAGAGGGAGGAGGAGGAGGAAGAGGAGAAGGAGGACCCAGGAGGAGGAGGACCCAGGAGGAGGAGGACCCAGGAGGAGGAGGACCCAGGAGGAGGACCCAGGAAAAGGCCCCAGGAGGAGGAGGAGGACTGGGGAGGAGGAGAACTGTTGAGGACTGATGAGGAGGACTGAGGACGAGGAGGAGGAGTAGGATCGGAGGAGGACTGAGGAGGGGAGGAGGAAGAGGACTGGGGAGGATCAGGAAGACCCAGGGGGACCCAGGAGGAAGAGGAGGACTGAGGAGGACTGAGGAGGAGGACTGACGATGACTGAGAAGGAGGAGGACTGAGGAGTACTGAGGAGGATGGCTGAGGAGGATGGCTGGGGAGGATGGCTGAGGAGGATGACTGAGGAGGATGACTGAGAGGGAGGAGGAGGAGGACTCAGGAGGAAGAGGAGGAAGAGGAGGAGGAGGACTCAGGAGGAGGACTTAGGAGAAATGA